TGGCCTGCTGTGTTCATCCAGCTCTACACCTTGTTCCCTCCTAGACTTGATGGCTTCTGTGACCAGTGCACACCCATAGGGGCTAGAGGACCTCCTCCTCAGCCCTTGGACTAATATTTTAATCTAAATTGATAACTTTCTGCTGATAATTTGATCTTTGCTGCAGTGCCACTTTAAGGGGATGTCAATCATTTATGTGGTTGATTTATTTTATTGGTTTTTATGAGTTTTCAAATGGTATAAAATGATCAGATTGTTGTGAAAAACCCATTTGCTGTGCTAATGCTTTCAGGGAGAGGTAAAGCTGCCATCCTTCCCCAGTCTGGCCTACATGTGACTCCAGGTCCACTGCATTGTGGTTGACTCTTAAATAAAAGGTGTAATGAGCCACTGAGTTGTATCAGACTGTGACAGGAAAGAAAGCGCAGTGAGTGAACCTGCACCACATGGACTGCAGTGATTCAACAAGGCAGCTAACTCCCACCTTATCCAGGGCAATTAGAGATGAGCACCTAATGTCAGGCTTGTTGACAGACACTCACATCCCAAAATAAACTTAAAAAAATATTTCTGGGAATGTGCTTGAGCAGATAGGTAAACCCATACAGAAAGCCGGCTGTTATTTTGGGTTTATAAATAAGGGAATACGTGACTAGGACAAGGAAGTAATGTTGGATTTGGATGAGGCAGTGGTTAGGCCACATCTCGTGTGATTTTTGAGCCCCTCATAATAAATAGGACGTTAAACTCCTGGTAAATGTACCAGGATAATGCCAGCACTGGCAAGTTATTGCTACAGGGCTGTTTCCATGGAAACAGGAAAGACGAAGGCGAGATTGAATAGGAACTTGAAACATGTGACGAATTGGAGCAGCGATGATTCTGATTGGGAGGTCAGTGACAAGAAATCAGCAAATTAAGATTTTCTGTAAGAAAGCGGGGAAAGTGGTTGAAAGAAGTGTCTTTATGTGGAGTTGTTATGGAGACGGAAAGCTTCTCCCACCAGGAATAGTGGGGTCAGCAAACTTTATATCTTCTTAAGGAAATGTAATAGAAACAGAGGAAAGTGCGGCAAAGATCGAGGCTGCAGAATTCATTTTGATTTGCTCCAGGAAAGGGCTGGCCTAGATATAATGGATGAGCCAGGCTCTTTCTGTGTTGTAAACATTAATGATGCTGTGCATTGTGGGAACAACTCCCTGCCTGTAGTCAGGGTGTAATTAAGGTGCAGCGTTACTCAGACACAGTGCAGCCATTTCCATTTGGCCCCCTTTGACTCCCATACCACAGCACGCCCCTACTGAGCGACTGGAATGTCAGCAGATCCTTTGCAGCTATCATCCTTGGGTTCTCTAAAAACATCAGGAACAGTCACTAAGTATGTGCTTTGATGTGCCCCCTCTACTTGTTTCCAGTTTATATTTCAGCTTTCTGCTATTTGTGATGCCCTTCTTCTTATTTTGTCTCATTTCTTGTTGAATGTCTTGGAAATGCTGCACATCTGGTCTCACTCAGTGCTAGGGTTTCATTCTAACTCATGTACCTCCCTGTAGGCTTTAACACTTTGTCTTTTCCTCCCTGTAGGTGCGCCTGAAGACCTGCCTCTTTAACCAAACTTTTTATCACCTGTCCTTGTGCCTCCTCACATGCCTTGGTGCCAAATTTAGTTTGATGCCAATGACAAAAAGTTAATGAAACTATGCAAATGCGTATTGTTGTTGTTGTAAAGTGGATGGTAGGTTTTCTCTGCTCTGTAAAGTCACAGGAGCTTCTGTCTCACTCTAGGTTGACCTTGTCGGTGAGTCTAAGGATCAGCGAGTGTACGTTTAGAATAAGGAGTCACAGATTAAGATGGAGAGGACTTTCTTCCCTCAGAGGGTAGGGAATCATTGGAATTGCAGAGGGCTGTCAAGGTTGTGTCGTTAAGTATATTCAAGGTTGAGACAGACACATTTTTAATCTGTAAGCCAATCAGGAGTAATGGGGAAAAGGCAGGAAAGTGGAGTTGAGGAATATCAGATCGCCCAGGCTCTCATTGTATGGTGCAGCAGACTCGATGGGCTGAATGGCATACTTCTGTACATTTTATAGTTTCATGGCTGTGCTGTCTCTGGAACACTGCTTAATCATCTCAAGTATCTGGTTTTGAACAACCTGTCAGAGTCTGCTGCTCACCACTTGGTATTTACATGTACTCCCTCTGCTTAGGGTTTCTCCTGCACTGTGCATCTGTGATGCCAGACATTTGCCTGTGTGGCTGGGTCTTTCGATGTCCTGGGTATCTCATTGTTTCCTTTCTTACATCTTGCTCTCAGGCAGAGAGAGTGCAAAAAAAAAGAGCAAGTCTCTCGTCTCGATCAACAGCAATATGTCTCCAAAGCCACAAAGGAGTGGTCTCATCTTTGACAGTCCTCCACCCAACATGTGGAAGTCAAGCACCGTTCCAAGGTAACATTTGGGCCTCGTTTATGCATCAGCATCTCGAATTGCCACACACAAACAACAGTAACTTGTGAAATTTAAATTCAATTAATAAGACTTTGATTTAGAAGCTAGTCTCAGTGATGGTGACCATGAAACCATCTTCTATTGTGATAGAAACCCATCTGGTTCAGTGATGTCCTTCAGAGAAGGCAACCTGCTGCCCTTACCCAGTCTGGCCTCTGCATGACCCACAGAAATGAACTTGACTCTTGACTGCCCACTGAAATGGGTCAAGCAACAAACTTAGTTCAAAGGCAGTTATAGGTGGGCAACAAATGCTGGCCTTGCCCAGTGACACCCAAGGCCCATGACAGAATAAAGAAAAAAATAACACACCAACTGTTGCAGTCAGATTTAGCAATTTCTCTTGCGGCTGAGATATGGAGTGATCACTCTGATAAACACGTGTGCTCGCGTATACGTACAGACACACACACTCACACTCACACGCGCGTGCACACACACACATGCGCGCACACATACACTCGCACTCTCACTCTCTAATATATACACACACACACTCACGCACACACACTCACTCATGCATATGCACACTCACATACACATACTCACTCACTCACTCATGCACATGCAAACTCATACACACACACGCACACATGCGTGCATATACGCACTCGCACTCTCTCTCTCTGATACACATGCACACACACACTCATGCACTCATGCACATGCACTCACACACACACACACTCATGCACACGCAATCACACACACGCGCACACACACACACACGCGCACACACACACACATTCGCACTCTCTCTCTCTGATATACACACATACACACACTCACTCACTCATGTACATGCACACTCACGTACACGCACACACACACTCATTCACTCATGCACATACACACTCATGTACACACACATGCACGCGCACACTCACACTCACTCACTCATGCACACGCACACTCACTGAGTCACTCACGCACGTGCACACTCACATACACACACGCACACACACACTCACTCACGCAGTTGCACACTCACATACACACACATGCACACACACATTCACACACACACACTCACTCACCCATGCACACGCACACTCTCATACACACACGCGCACCTACGCACATGTGCACACACACACTCGCACTTTCTCTCTCTATCTGATGTACATACACACACACTCTCACACACACTCTCTCACACACATACACACACACACACACACACACACACTCACACACAGTCACACACTAACGCACACACACACAAATCCACTTTCATATACAGACATACACTCTCATATACACACACTCATTTACACACACAGATACACTCATACTCACACGGACACATACATACACAGATTTACACATACTCAGATGTACACACATGCTCACATAACACACACATACCCAAACACATGCATACACACACTCATATATACACACATACACACACACACACAAATGTGCACAGACACACATGCACACACGTTCTCATACACATTCAATCATATATAATCAAACACACACATCCATTCACCATACAGACACTTGCACTCTCTTGTAAACACATTTGCACTCATGCGCAGATACAAATACAGTAACTCCAACCCATGTCAGCATTAACATCAACAATTGAAATGTCAATTATATAGATTTACAGCAGTCAGCAAAACCCGAACAGTCAGTACTTCAAAGTGACACCCTGGCTGTTAGAGGATGATGTTAAATGTGATGTAGAGTTGTTTCTGTTTCTTCGTTCAGGAGAGTGGGGTCAGAAGGGGAATTGAATGCAAAACAGCTGAGAGAAAGGAGGCATTCCAGGTTTCTACTGAACTGTGAGTAAAAATGAATTCACTCCCTCCTTATGGGTATGTTCGGAATTGTGCTGTGTTAAGGTCCCAAGGCACTAGGAGCTGTTCAATATCTTACCAAATTCTCATTCCCTCCTCTTTAAAAGATGCAGATCCTCATTGTGTTTTGCTTTCACAGATGCCCCATGCCATCCATTAACTGAACCCAGTCACAGTTGGCAAGCTGGCCACCCATAATCTAGACTGTTAGCACTCTTGCCTCCAAGTCAGAATTTGTAGGTTCAACCAGGGAAGTGCTGGTGGCGTGGCAATGTCACTGGATTAGTAATCCAGAATAATGTTCCGGGGGTAGTAGGAACTGCAGATGCTGGAGAATCTGAGATAACAAGGTGTAGAGCTGGATGAACACAGCAGGCCAAGCAGCATCAGAGGAGCAGGAAAGCTCTGATGCTGCTTGGCCTACTGTGTTCATCCAACTCTACACCTTGTTATCTCTAATGTTCTGGGGACATGTTTGATGGTGACATTTGAATTCAACAAAAAGCTAGTAAAAAATCACAATCGATTGTCATAAAAACCCATGTGGTCAACTAATTTCTGTTGTCCTTACATGCTCTGGCCCACATGTGATCCTACAGCCACGTGCTGACTTGTAACTGGCCACTCTGGGCAATTAGCGAAGGGTAGTAAATGCTGGTCCAGCCAGTAATGCCCTCATCCCATCAATGGCATTATCTGAAAATGGATTCCCTGTTCACGATCTCAATGCTTTCTTTAGGAAGTATCTGCAATTCCCACATTACAACGGTCACACTGCTTCAACAGTGCTTCGTCGGCAATGAAAGCACTCTGGGTGGTTCTGTCATTATGGAAGATGCTATATACATCCATGTCTTCCTTTCCGTTTCATAGAAAGGTGAAGAACCATGTCCAATTATGTCCTCCCCCCAGATGCCCACATACCCATGTCCTAACAACAGTACTCGACCCTCCCCTAACTCTGGGCCAACTTGTCTGAAATAAACTAACACAGTAATGGCCATAAACCAAGCTGGATCTTCTAGACTGCTTGCTTCGTTTGGGGGTGCAGTTAAATTTTCCGAATTGTTCAGAGGTTAACCAGGGGACAATGGCTTGGTGCATAGAGGTTGACCCAATTCTGAGGAACATCTGTGGCTTTCTGGAGAGGTGGTTGGCAGGACTGGATCAAACCAAGGGGCAGGCCTTCCCAAAGCCGGGGATTGGACAGCATGTGGGGTCACAAGCTCCCAGGTAGCTATGATTGCTCTGCCATGGAGTTCTATTCTCCCTCTTTTTCTGGTGTCACAAGTCTGCTGTCCCCTGCCCTGACTCCCTCCACCCTCCTCTCACAGGGACTGTGAGAAACTGCGAGCCTTGAAAATAGGCTCATGGTGGGGATAATGTTTGGGAAGTGTAGCCCTGGGGAGCTTCTTCTGGAAGGACTTTGCCTGCTCAATCGTGTTCCTGGTTCTGGTTGGTTCACCAAATATAATCTCCAGCGCAGTGCATGGAGGACTCACACCTACACTGGTTTGCGTTATAGCGATCCTGTACCAGGAGTACAGCAATGTGGCGAGTGACCGTGAAATCCAAAGGCAGAAACGGGCCGACACAGTCATCGAAGAAGATGACGCCATCCTGGTCAGCAAGTACAGATCATTACCAAAGAACTCAGGCTGGTCCCAGAGGTCCGTTCGAGGGAACGCATTTGCTCTTTGGCAGGACATCCCGGATGTGCGGAGAAGTGGGCTGCTGGATCGAATGGGCAATGAGCAGCGGAAACTGCAGGAGGTGAGTGAACCGTCTGGGTTAAACACTGTTTAGGCCTTGCTCAGGAACCCAGCAACAGGTCTCATCTGCCCTGCTGTACCAAGGCCGATCACAGCATCCAGACAAAACCTAACCATTCGGGAATATTTCAGTCCCTTTGTTTTTTTATGTTATGCGTTTCATATCTTTTACAGTTTTTTTACCTGTTTCTTCCTGTTTCTGTGTCATTCTCTGATTGTGGAACAGCCTTGGCTGAGGTATATGAACAGGCTGCGAGAAGCTGTGTAGGCCCAGCCCAGGGTCACTTCTTTTCATTCTTCTCTCCAAAATGTTTGGCCGCTCCCTGGAACTTGCCCAATGCATAGCTGGACTTAACAACTTGGGGATGATTTGTGCCGCTGTGACCTTGAGCCAATGATCCTATGACCGATTCTTACATGAATGATTGGGAAATTAGTGTAGGGTCTAACCTCCACCAAAGAGAAAGGGCATTTTTTTTCCCTTCCAATCTTCAGGTGATACGTTATGTCACACCTCTGGAGCAGGTAAGACACAAATCCGGGCCTCCTTGCAGAGACGTATGGACAGAACCATCCTATTATAGACAGGATTTATCTTTAGTGAGCCCAATAATGGCCTCAATTACTGTTAAACAATCACACTTATCCACCAGATTCCGTCAGCCGGGATCGAATTTCATCATGTTTACTATGTCTAGCCCTGTTAGGAATTCCCGGGACCAGGAATCATAGTTGAAGGATAAAGGACTGAGATAAGGAGAAATTTCTTCACCCAGAGAGTGATGAGCCTGTGGGATTCTCTACCACAGAAACTGGTTGCATTAGAAACATTGTGTTTTCAAAAAGGAGATGGATACAGCTCTTGTGGCTAAAGGGATCAAGGTATAAGAGGGGAGGGTGGGATTAGGGATCAACCATGATCATATTGAATGGCTGAGCAGTCTTGAAGGGCCTACTCCTGCTCCTCTCTTCTATGCTTATAGGTTTCAGTGAGATCCCCTGCCATTCATCTAAGCTCCAGTGATTATAATCCTCACTGACCAGTCTCTCTTCATACATCATTTAAACCCATATCTTCAGAGCATTAGAGATAGTAGGAACTGCAGATGCTGGAGAATCTGAGATAACAAGGTGTAGAGCTGGATGAACACAGCGGGCCAAGCAGCATCAGAGGAGTAGGAAAACTGACGTTTCGGGCATAGACCCTTCTTCAGAAATGGGGGAGGGGAAGGGAGTTCTGAAATAAACAGGGAAAGAGGGGGAGGCAGATAGAAGATGGATAGAGGAGAAGATAGGTGGAGAGGAGACACAGGTCAAAGAGGCGGGGATGGAGCCAGTAAAGGTGAGTGTAGGTGGGGAGTTAGGGAGGGGATAGGTCAGTCCAGGGAGGACAGACAGGTCAAGGGGGCAGGATGAGGTTAGTAGGTAGGAGATGGGGGTGGGCTTGAGGTGGGAGGAGGGGATACGTGGGAGGAAGAACAGGTTAGGGAGGCAGGGACAAGCTGGGCTGGTTTTGGGATGCGGTAGGGGGAGGGGAGGTTTTGAAGCTTGTGAAGTCCACATTGATACCATTGGGCTGCAGGGTTCCCAAGCAAAATATGAGGTGCTGTTCCTGCAACCTTCGGGTGGCATTGTTGTGGCACTGCAGGAGGCCCAGGAGGGACATGTCGTCTGAGGAATGGGAGGGGGAGTTGAAATGGTTCACGACTGGGAGGTGCAGTTGTTTAGTGCAAACCGAGTGTAAGTGTTCCGCAAAGCGGTCCCCGAGCCTCCGCTTGGTTTCCCCGATGTAGAGGAGGCCACAACGGGAACAGTGGATAAGTATACCACATTAGCAGATGTGCAGGTGAACATCTGCTTGATGTGGAAAGTCTTCTTGGGGCCTGGGATAGGGGTGAGGGGGGAGGTGTAGGGGCAGGTGTAGCACTTCCTGCGGTTGCAGGGAAAAGTGCCGTGTGTGGTGGGGCTGGTGGGGAGTGTGGAGCGGACAAGGGAGTCACGGAGAGAGTGGTCCCTCCGGAAAGCAGATGAGGGTGGGGAGGGAAAAATGTCTTTGGTGGTGGGGTCGGATTGCAGATGGCAGAAGTGTCGGAGGATGATGCGTCGGATGCGTCATCTCCCAAACCATCCACAACCTCATCACCTCAGTTGACCTCCCACCCACAGCCTCCAACCTCATCGTTCCCCAACCCTGCACCGCCTGCTTCTATCATCCAACACATCATCCTCCGACACTTCCGTCATCTGCAATCCCACCCCACCACCAAAGACATTTTTCCCTCCCCACCCTTATCTGTTTTCCGGAGGGACCACTCTCTCCGTGACTCCCTTGTCCGCTCCACACTCTCCACCAGCCCCACCACACACGGCACTTTTCCCTGCAACCGCAGGAAGTGCTACACCTGCCCCCACACCTCACCCCATCGCAGGCCCCAAGAAAACTTTCCACATCAAGCAGATGTTCACCTGCACATCTGCCAATGTGGTATACTGTATCCACTGTTCCCGTTGTGGCCTCCTCTACATCGGGGAAACAAGCGGAGGCTCGGGGACCGCTTTGCGGAACACCTATGCTCGGTTCGCACTAAACAACTGCACCTCCCAGTCGTGAACCATTTCAACTCCCCCTCCTATTCCACAGACGACATGTCCATCCTGGGCCTCCTGCAGTGCCACAACGATGCCACCCGAAGGTTGTAGGAACAGCACCTCATATTTCACTTGGGAACCCTGCAGCCCAATGGTATCAATGTGGACTTCACAAGCTTCAAAACCTCCCCTCCCCCTACCGCATCCCAAAACCAGCCCAGCTTGTCCCCACCTCCCTAACCTGTCCTTCTTCCCATCTGTCCCCTCCTCCCACCTCAAGCCCCACCCCCATCTCCTACCTACTAGCCTCATCCCGCCCCCTTGACCTATCCATCCTCCCTGGACTGACCTAATTCCTAACTCCCCACCTACCCTCACCCTTACTGGCTCCATCCCCGCCTCTTTGACCTGTGTCTCCTCTCCACCTATTTTCTCCTCTATCCATCTTCTATCTGCCTCCCCCTCTTTCCCTATTTATTTCAGAACCCCCTTCCCCTCCCCCATTTCTGAAGAAGGGTCTATGCCTGAAACGTCAGCCTTCCTGCTCCTCTGATGCTGCTTGTCCTGCTGTGTTCATCCAGCTCTACACCTTGTTATCTTCAGAGCATTAGCTTGGATTGCCCAGTCCTCAGGCTGGGGATCCCTTTAGATTCAGGCTATCTTCCTCAGTTCTTCCTGATGACACTGCCCTCTGCTGATTCCTGCTAATGGGCATTCTCCCCTATTTTACTGTCCAACTCATTTGCGTGGCATTTTTCCAACATTTTTCTGCCTTTTGCCTCTGTGCTTGTGACCCTGGGTTGAGTTTGAGTTGCTGTGTAAATCTGTGTTGAAATTCCAGTTGCAACCTCTGTGTCCAATAGGCCAAATTTGAACTGGTCACTTCGGAAGGATCCTACCTTCGGAGTCTCACCATCGCCGTCGAACATTTCCATAACTCCAGGGAGCTCCAGGGATGTCTCAACATTCAGGAAAAGCAGTGGCTGTTCTCCAAACTGCCCGATGTCAAAGATGTCAGTGAAAAGTAAGGCTTGTGGCGATCAGTGAAAAGAACTTAACCGATTTGACCATCTCCCATAGACATCGGGATTAAGATCAGGAACAGCCCATTCCTCCAATTGCACTGTTACTAAAATCTTTTCCGCATGTGGAACCGAGCCATAGAAACCAGTAGGAGGCACTGCAACTGACCTGGGCAGCACAGTGGATGGGTGGCATGGTGGCTCAGTGGTTAGCACTACTGCCTTACAGTGCCAGGGACCCAAGTTCAATTCCACCCTTGGGTGACTGTCTATGTGGAGTTTGCACATTCTCCCCATGTCTGTGTGCGTTTCCTCTGGGTGCTCCGGTTTTCTCCCACAGTCCAAAGATGTGCAGGCTAGGTGGATTGGCCGTGCTAACTTTCTCATAGTGTTCAGGGATGTGTAGATTAGGTGGGTAACAGGGGGATAGGTCTGGGTGCGATGCTCTGAGGGTTGGTGTGGACTTGTTGGGCCGAAGGGCCTGTTCCAGCACTGTAGGGATTCTATGATGAACAAGTCAGCCAGTGTTTCTGTTAGGAGGGGACAGGATTATGTGATGCTGTTTGCAACCAAATAGCTTGTTGATGCTCAACATCCAGCTTTTGGAATTGAGTGGGTTCTGAATGAAGCTACCCATTGAACCCTGTGCCTGTGAATCCATTTCCATGTGCAAGGAGACCCCTGCAGGAGTCGGGTTCAGGGTGGGGGCTTGGAATAATTCAAGGGGGATATGTAGCCTGGTTTGTTTTTCTGTGCATCACTGGCAAAGCCACAAATGTTGCCCATCTCTTGAACTGAATGATTCAGTCAGCTTTCAGAGGGCAATTGAGAATCCACCATATTGCTGGAGTCATGTGAGGATAAAGATGGCTGATTTCCTCCAATAAAGGGCATTAGTGAGCCACTCTTTTATATAAAACAAATCAGTGATAATTCCATAGCATCACTGACACTAGCTTTATACACCTAATTTGTTTAATTCCAGCAGCTGTCTGGTTGGATTGGAATCCATTTTCCCCAATTATCAATCTGAGTGTTTGAAATGGCTAGCACAGTGATCTTACCCCGTTTGATAATAATTTCCTGAAGTCAATTAAATGCAACAACTTTAGCCAGAACTGTACAAAGCACTAGTCAGACCACAGCTAGAATACTGTAAACAGTTTTGGACCCCATATCTAAGGAAAGATATACTACCATTGGAGGCAATCCAGAGATGGTCCACTAGACTGATGTTAGACATGGAGAGACTCTCTTATGAGGACAGATTGAGTAGATTGGGCCCTGAAACATATGGGATTCTTAGAAGATTTGACAGCGTAGATGTGGAAAGGCTGTTTCCCCTTGTGGGAGAATTTAGGACCAGAGTGTGTAACCTCAGAATGAGGGATTGCACATTTACAGGAAGAGAACAGGGAGAATTTCTTCTCTCAGAGGGTTGTGAATCTGTAGAATTCTTTACCGCAAAGGGATATTGAGGCTCGGTCATTGATTATATTCAAGGCTGAGATAGACAGATTTTTAATCAGGAAGGGAATCAAGGGTTATGGGGAAAAGGCAGGCAAGTGGAGTTGAGGATTATCAGATTAGCCATGATCTCACTGAGTGTGGAGCTGATGGGCTGAATGGCCTGCTCTGTTCCTGTGTCTTATGTTGTATGGTATTAATGCACGTGATTAAAATATCACAACCAGAAATAATCCAGAGCAGTTTCACCTGTGATACTTCCCTCGCTGTTTATAGCATGAAGCTAATGTACCGAGTTGACTATAAAGAATTAAACTTTAAACAAATAATGTTGACCAGACATTGAGATGAAAGCCCTCATCAACACTTGAAATCAGTATTTGCAATAAATGTTTTATGTGATGTGGCTATCATATCTGCTCAGTGAGATGCTGTCTGCTGGACAATCTGCTGGACAGTGTTTGTGCTGTTGCTCAATATTATCAATGGAGGAGCGGGTGGTACGGGAATACAGATACCTCAAGCTTCCTAATATGCAGCTGTGGCAGAAGAATGGCATGTAGCCGCTGGATATAGTGCCAGACACCAGGGTGCTGGGTGCTGCCATCTCAGTGCAGAGCGGTCTGTATCCTGTCTACGGTTCAGCATGGCTGGGTGCAGGGAGAGACAAGACTCACAGAGAATATGCCAACCTGCCTGACCGAGGCACCTCTGCAAGTGACAGACAAGATCAGGCCCAGTGTCAGTTCACCCAATCAAAAAGTGGGACCGACACGTGGACCCTGTGTTAACAGATAATTGAGTGTGGATTAATTTACTGAAGAAGAGCAATGATGGGAGCAGTTTAACAAGAGACTGTATTTTCTGTTTGTGGAGACAGACAGCTTTAAAGGTGAGGCTGAGAATGTGGGTATGGTAGATCTGAGGGAAGTGGAAAAGAAGGTGGACGTACGGGATTAGAGGTTGAGAACTGATGGAGGTTGACTGCACTTTTTAAGTCTAACGACAAATATCTACAGAAACCAATGTTCCATTTATCTATTAGTTTTCGCTCTAAATACAGTTACAACCAGTGTGTTAGCCATTCTATTCCTTGTTGGTAACTAGGGGCCCTGGCTCCGTCTTGTCTACTCCGTTGTTCTCAGGTTCCTGCAGGAGCTGGAAGAGAGGCTGGAGAAGGATATCTTGAATTTTGATGTGTGTGACATTGTGCTGGCTCACTGCCCCGCCTTCAGGAGAGTCTATGTGCCTTACGTGACCAACCAGGCATATCAAGAACAGACTTACCAGCGGCTGCTGTACGTGTGAGCGTTTCTTTCATGCAACAAGAGAGCAGCTGAGCCTTCACTTTTGCACGATTGACTTGCACAAAGTAATGGGAGGTTGGGACGGCTCAGTGATTAAATGTACCACCCGTTGTGACCCTGAAAGGAGAGACTAGAAGGAACCAAGTATGATCTCCTGTCTGTGCTATTAACTTAATGGCCCAGGGTAAGAAGGGGAAAAATCACTGGGCGTTCATAGTTGTAAACACAATCCACTAAGTCCATCTAGACAGTGGAGATGTGGTTTGAAGTCTTGCTTTGAAAGAGAAAGCAAAACTAACATTTAAATAGAACTTTTCATAATGACCAGATGCCCAAGAGAGCTTTACAGTCAGTGAACTACTTTTCAAAGTGTGATCACTGTTGTAATGTGTAAGCCCCGGCAACCAACAAGTACACAGCAAGCTCCCACAGGCAGAAATGTGATAATGATCAGATAATTTTTTTTCCCTGATCTTGACTGAGGAATAAACATTAGGCCAGGACACTGGGAAGAACAGGTCTCTTCTTCACGGTAATGCCCTGGGATCTTTTACAACTGCATGAGCAGATAAAGCATGCCTCAGTTTAACATCTCATCTAAATTCCAACACCTCTGACAATGGACTGGAGTGTCCAAACATGACATTTTGTTCTCAAGCCCTGAAGAGGGGTTTGAAATGAGAGAACACGGTGACTCAGAATCCAAGTGTGATTTGCAGTGGGCTATGGATAACACACAAACATGGCCAGGGGCACGTAGTGACTGAATTTTTCTCTGGATCACCCCTGCAGGCAGGAGAATTCCAGGTTTTCCAGTATCTTGGCCAAGCTGGAAGAGGATCAAGTTTGCCAGCGACTGCCCCTCACCTCATTTCTAATCCTGCCATTCCAGAGGATAATGAGACTGAAGATGTTGGTGGAGGTAAAAGGCCAATATTATAAATCTTCATAACAGAAAAGATGCTATATAATAAAGCACTAAAGCTGTAAACCCATAGAATCTCACAACACTGTAGGGGCTCATTCAGCCCATTGTAATTGAGCTGACTCCTCGAAACCGCGATTCTATGACAAGTTCCATTTGTCTGCTTTTCCCCCACAGCCCTGCAAATCTCTCCTTTAACATACATGTCTAATTCCCTTTTGAAAGTTAGTATTGAATCTATCCACCGGCCTTTCATATAGCACATTCTAAACAGTAACAACTCATTGTGTACATTAAGTTCAGCTCATCTCCACGCAACATCTCTCATGGTTTTGCACATATCTATTAAATTTCCCCTTTCACTCTGTGCTCCCAGGTAAACAGATCTCACTCCTCTCGTCTCTTGGCTTAACTGAATGATGATCCCTCTGTATTACAGAATATATTGAAACGTACCAAACAGGGCTCCCAGGAGGAAGAGACAGCCACAAAGGCCTTCGACAAACTCAAAAAGGTGAAAGGCTTTGAATTTAAACGTAAAGTAGACACAGGACGGGAAGTAGAGAGTTGGAAAGTACATTGAAATCCGGGTGAGATCCAGGCCAAGGCTTGCTACAACTGTAGAAGGTATTGGTGAGATTGCATTTGGGGTACTGTGTATAGTTTAGAACACTTTACCTATGCCTGGGTATCCATTGGAAGCCAGTCAAAGAAGGCTCCATGGACTGATTCATGGGATAAAGGCACTGTCTTTTGAAGGTTGAATGAGTTGGCTCTTATACATTGAAATTTAGAAAGATGAGTGGTGACCTCACTGCAACATGTAGAAGTCTGAGGGAGCTTGACAGAGTAGATACTGAGATGCCATTTCCCCTAGAATTAAGAAACACAGTTTCAAAACAAGGAATCTCCCATGTAAGATGGAGATAAGGAAGAATGTCTTCTCTTAGGGGGGTCGTTGTTCTTTCAAATTCTCTTCTGGGTCATTGAATATGTTCGAGGCTGAGTCAGGCAGATTTTAGATTGACTAGGGAGTTGTGGATTCTGGGACGGTGATAGACAGGATGTTGAAACCATAACCAGATGCACCATGGGCTTGTTGGGTCATGGGGGTTGGGGGGCTATGGCCAACACTTATTGCCCATTTCTGAGGGTCGGTGTGGGCTTGTTGAGCTGAAGGGCCTGTTTCCACACTGTAGGGATTGTATGATTCTATGATTCTAATTACCCAGAGGGCAGTTAACAACATTACTGTGGGTGTGGAGTCACATGTAGGCCAGGTAAAGTTGGCACATTTCCTTCCCTGAAGGACATTAGTGAACCAGACACATTTTTATGTTAGTGACTACCTTGATTTTTCTTTCAAATTACAATTCTTTTTTTAAGTTGAATTCACCATCTGCAATAGTAGGATTTAAATCATATCCTCAGAACATTAACCTGGGGTTCTAGATTGCTTGTACAGTGACATTACCAACATGCAACCATTTCCCCATCTGGGTGCCGCAATTGAGAATTCACATTGCCTGACAGGTGGGTGTTGAGAATTCAGGCCAGGATTGGATGAGGAAGAATTCAATCTTTGTTAATGTAATCTGGGGCCTATAAATTTAAGCACAGTTCAACCCAACAGAGAATAAGGAAGGTGTACTGACTGTAACCTCTTTCTCTATCAGCTGACACAAGAGTGTAATTCTAGTGTACAGTCAATGAAGAGGACAGAGGAACTCATTCACCTGAACAATAAAATCCACTTTGAAAGTAAGGTAAGCTGCTGTGTACAAAGGACACTGATCGCCCATAAATACGGAGGGGGAGGGTCACCTGGACATTTCTATTGTAAGAATGGCAGCTGCGGCCAAGGCACGGTGGGGCAAAACCACTGTCTGATGTCTTCTTGCTGAAGTTAAACAGGGTACATTCAGTTATCCGATCCTCCTAGAGCCTCAAATGCATGTAAATATAGTTTGGTTCAAGTAAGAGATTGGTTTGTTTGGATACAGTCAAAATTCAATGTTTTCTGAAGAAGGGTCCCAACCTGAAACGTCAGCTTTCCTGCTCCTCTGATGCTGCCTGGCCTGCTGTGTTCATCCAGCTCCGCACCTTGTTATCTCAGACTCCAATGTTTGTTTGTTTCCTTGATATGCTACTGTACAAAACTAAACTGCGTTTGTGACTAGGTACATATATAAAGAGTGTGGAGCTGGAGGAACACAGCAGGCCAGGCAGCATCAGAGGAGCAGGAAAGCTGCATCCTTAGAAGAGGCTTGGCAGTGGGGTTATAATTCACTCAGAGATAGCAAGAACTGAAGATGCTGGAATCAAAGATAACACCGTGCGGAGCTGGTGGAACACAGCAGGCCAGGCTGTATTCCTCCAGCTCCACACTGTTATCGCTGACTCCAGCATCTGCAGTTCTTACTATCTCTACATATATCAAGGTATTTTTTATGAATGAAGTATATTTTTTGAAATAAGAAAAGCTTCTGTTGCAAGTGGGGCTCACAGATATTTGAATAAGATTGTCTGAGCAATCTGTAATTGACGACAGGAGGTTTGTGACTGCGAGTGAGCCAGGCATGACAGTCGAGAAGTTAGAAAGGGAGGAAGATAAGGTCTTGTAGTTCTGCAATCAGTTTGAGGTTCTTGCAGCCCATGTGGATGAAAGGGATGGCTGCAGGGAAGATGCGTTGACTGCACTGTGTTACAGGTAGCTATTCAAGGGGAAGGGGGAGGGAGGAATTAATAGGAATGTAATGATAGCAGAGAGCAGTATAGTCAGGAGGGAGCAAGAGTCCAGGTAGCAGTGTTGCCTGCCCAGGGTTAGAGTGCACGACATCTTCTATAGGTTAATGAGAAATTCACAGTTGGAGGGGAAGGATCCAATTGTTATGGTACATGCAGGGACCAATGACACAGGTAGGATTGCAACAATGTTCTGCTTTGAAAATATGAGCAGATGATAGCTGAATTAAAATGCAAAACCTCATTTAAAACCAAAAGAACTGCGGGTGCTGTAAATCAGAAACAAAAACAGAAGTTTCTGGAAAAACTCAGCAGGCCTGGCAGCATCTGTGGGGAGAAATCAGAATAAGTGTTTCGGGTCTGAGCTTTTCGAGCAATTTCTGTTTTTGTTGCAGGACTTCAATCTCTGGAATATTACCTGAGTCATGAGCAAATTGGTGTCGGGTAAATAAGATTAGCGGGTCAAAAATGTAGCTCAAAGATTGTTGCAGGAGAAATTGGTTTTGATTCATGGCATTGGCAGCAGAGGGAGTTGTACCAGTGGGACAGTCTTCGCCTGAATGAACTGTGCTCGGCCAGTGTTGTGCAAAGTGGTGTGACTAGACTGGTCAGGGACAAGGGATCAAGTAAAAGAAGATGTGATAAATTAAAGGCAAGACAGCAAAGTAGCCCTAAGGGAATTGATAATCTGAATGTCGCAGGAGGGGACAAAACATACAAACCCAACAGTGACCAAATAGATTGCAAAAATAATGAAAAGATGGAAGGAAAATCACTCTATCTGAATGCACACAGCATTAGCAGAAAGGTAGATGATTTGACAACACAAATGTAAATAAACACGTTGGATCTAATAGACATTCTGTCTGTCTGGCTGCAAGGTGACCAAGACTGGGAACTAAATCTTTAAGGGTATGCTAGAAGAGGCAAAAAGGAAACAGAGGTGGGTCGCACTGTTAATTAAGGATAAAATTAGTACATTCATGAGAGAAGAGTTTGGCTGGGGAGGTCAGGTGTAGAATCTGTTTGGCTGGAACTTAGAAACTGCAAGGGGCAGGATACATTTGGTAGAAATTGCTTCCAGGCCACCAAACAACAGTGGCAATATAAAGTATGGTGTAAACCAGGAAATCAGAGGAGTATGTAACAATGGGGGAACAAACTTACATTGAGACTGGATAAATCTTATTAGCACATATTCTATGGAGGATGAGTTCTTGGGATGTATATGAGATTTCCTAGAAACAGTATGTTGAGGAACCAGCTAGAGATTGAGTAATTTTAGATCTAGTGTTGTGCAATCTTGTTGTAAAGTACGCTGTATGAAAGAGTGATCATAATATGGTTACATTTTATATTAAGTTTGGAAGTGATGTGGTTCAATCTGAAATTAAGGTGTTAAGTTTAAACAAGGGAAACTATGACAGTAGGAGGGGTAAATTGACTGTGGTGAATTGGGAAACTACATTAAAAGGTACAATGATAGACAGGGAATAGTTAGCAATTAAAGAATTAATATATGTTTACAACAAATTGACATTCCTTTAAGGTTCAGAAACCAAATAGGATAAGTGATCGACAACAGCTAGCATGTTAACGATTGTATTAGTTCAAAGGAAATGGCTATAAAGTCGTCAAAAAAGTAGTAAACCTGAATATTGGGTACAAGTACTGCGTATAATTTTGGTCGCCCTGCTATAGGAAGGATGTTATTCAACTGGAAAGGGTGCAATTCGATTTACAAGGATGTTACCAAGATTGGAGGGTTTGAGTTAAAAGGAGAGGCTGGATAGGCTGGGACTTTTTTCCTGCAGTATAGGAGGCTGAGGTTTATTAAAACCATGAGGGGCATGGGTAAGGTGAATAGCCAAGATCTTTTCTTGAGGGCAGGGGAGTTCATAACTAGAGGGCATTGATTTAAAGTGAGAGGGGAAAGATTTAAAAGGGACCTAAGAGGCAACTTTTTAACACAGAGGGTGGTGTGTGTATGGAATGAGCTGCCAGAGGAAGTGGTAGAGGTGGGTACAATTACAACACTTACAAGACATTTGTATAGGTACATGGACAGGAAAGGTTTAGAGGGATGACTCTATACTGGCATGGATTGAGAATTGGTTAATGGACAGAAAACAAAGTATGAATAAACAGGTTGGCAGGCTGTAAACAGTGGGATATCAGAAGGATCTGTGCTTACAGCTCAGCTATTCATAATCTATATCAATGCTTTGGATGTGGAGATCAAATGTAATATTTACAAGTTTGCTGATAACATAAACCTATGTGCAAATATGAATTAGGAGGAGATGCAAAGAGCTATCGAGCGAATTTAGATAGGCTGAGCGAGTAGCAAGAATATGGTGGATGGAATGAAGTGTGGAAAAATGTGAAGTTTTCCACCTTGGCGGGAAAAATAGAAATTGCAAGTAATTTTTTTAACACAGAGAGACTGGGTATTGTTGATGTCTAAAGGGACCTGGGAGTTCTTGTTTATAGGTCACTGAAAGTTAGCATTCCCATGATGCAGCAAACAACTAGATAGTCCCATGGTATGTTGGCTTCTATTGGAAGAGGGTTTGAGTATAGCAGTGAAGTAGTCTTGCTGCTATTGTATAGAACCTTGCTAAGACCTCACTTGGGTATTGTGTACAGTTTTGGTGTCCTTTCCTAAGGAAGGATATACTTGCCATAGACAGAATGCAATAAATATCCCTCAGACTGATCCTTGGGATAGTGGAATTGTCCTCTTTTGGGAACTTGGGGAAACCAGGTCTATATTATCTGGGAGAGAAACAATGCCAGAACTAGGGATAGGCTATTTAAGACTGAGGTGAGGAGGAATTTCTTCAGTCAGTGGGTGGTGAATCTTTGGAATTCTCTACCCCAGGTCTGGACATTCAGACCGTGAATATTTTTGAGACAGAGGTTGAAAGGTTTCTAGATATTAAGGATATTAAAGGACATGGGGATACACCAGGAGAATGGAATTGAGGTGGAAGATCAGCCTTGATCTTATGAGTAGTACAGTGAGCTTGAGGGGCCGAATGGCTACTCCTGTATTCCTTTGTACTACGTTTGCCCATTGTAGCCATGCTGCCTGTGGAGTGCTCACAGGGAGGGTGAGAATAATCAGGTGCCATCCTCCAATGCCAAGTGAAAGACGGGAGGCTGAGCTGCTGCTCGAATGGCTGCCAGGGGCCAGACCCAAGGGAATTCACAAGAGGGAAGACTTCCAAGCGCGTGTCCATGTGTTTGTCCACCAATGGAGCTGAGACAGAACACGTTGGCTGCGCTGTGAGAGAGACTTACTGGCAACATTGAGCACTTCGAGTGCCTGAATAATACAGAGTAAAACCTGCTCCTGCAATGCAGCTTAACTTCAAAATTAGGCCCTCTGCTCCCAGACTTCCGCCTGACACCAGTCAATCTTTCTGTTGTCTCAGACTAACGCTAACAGGTTAGCTCAGTTGGTGGGATGGCTGGTTTGTGATGCCAACAGAGTCGGTTCAATTCCTGCACTGACTGAGGTCACCCTGCCTACTGGGCATTGCCCCTCACCACCAGTTGTCTGTCTCTCTCTAATGAGAGAACAGTTCTCTGGGACTATGATGGCTTTACCTTTACTACAAGTCACAATGCAGAAGGGCTCAGATGAGATTTGAACCTGCCTCTTCTCACATCTTGACTCAATGAGAGCTCCGAAAGTAAGAATTGTACCCTTATTCCAACAGGCTGCCCAGCCAACCTTTCTGAGCAAGCTGCCAATTTTGTAGTGAATTAAGGGGTTGGTTTGAGTTGGTGGTAAAGCATCTGCTAACGTGCGATTGAAACTGCTGAGCTGATTATAGCCTGAGAACCAACTGACAGAGGGGAATACAGCTCATCAGATTCAGACTCAGTTCCTAAAGTGAAAACTAAAAACTCCTGCCCGCTGCACAGTTGCTGGAGAAATGTCTCATTTCCAATAAACTCGCTGTCATTTTGGGGATGAGAGGCCAGAATGATTTTACTTCCATTTTGTGGATGAGCCCAGTGGATGGCAGTAGATAGTTAAGGATCTTGTTGAGAGTTGTCATGGATTTCTGAGTTTGGCGTTCTGTCTCTCTTTCCACAGATTTTCCCACTGATCTCTCAGTCCCGTTGGCTGGTAAAGCATGGGGAACTGACTGAAGTGGATTCCCAGGTCAATAACACCACCGGGTCGAAATTCAAGCTCTCCACGAGGCCCATTTACCTGCACCTCTTCAATGACTGCCTCCTGCTTTCTCGAAAAAAGGAGTAAGTTTGCCCTCCATTACGAGGCGCTGCCGTTTGGTAATACCCCCGGCTGCTTCTTCTGTCCTGACCTCTCTCACATTTCCCTTTCCCATTGCTTTTGAACCATCCTCCTCCTCTTTGCTCCAGGTCATTGATGAAAATTAGTTCCTTATATCCTGTCAGGAGACAATACTCACTTGACATCAGCAGATGGCAGCACGTAGTTTAAAATCTCAAACGGGTTTAGAGAACAAAAGAGATTATTTTACAAAAAACAAGGCGAGCAGCCGAGGGCTTTGGTAAAGGGAGCAATGACTAAATGAGGAAGAATCTGTTTTACACAGAAACGGGTTAGTATCTGGAATTGTCAACTCCCTGAGAGAGTACTGCAGGTAGGTCCACTCTCTCACTCACACCCACCGTCCACTCTCTCACTCACACCCAC